CTTTACAAATTATAATGTATGAATGTACTGTACAAAAGTCCTCTATTTAAAGAGGTTAACTCTATAGATGCTAGCCAAGGACTCAATCTGTGTTGTGCTTAGGGTAGAATGATAGGAAATGGAAAAAGTAAAAATGAATTTTTTTACTGTATAAAATGTTTAGATATACAGCATTTAAAACAACCTTGAATGAAACCAAAAAAATATTTTTTTGTTTTACAAAAAAGGTTCATAAATCATTTTAGCACTGGGAGAAGGTGGTGGAGAGAGGATATGGTGATATGGCATTTATGAATATAGATTTAAACTTAAAAGTAAGTTTTTGTATATAGAACAGATGGAAGGAGAAGTATTACGAAAGTGGGGGATTAAATTAGTTAAAGGAGTTGGAAGTTTCTGCTAATACCGGTATATATTTGGCTGTTCAATGGTAGAATTTATGTTTTACAATAAACCTGCATAAAAGATGTTTGATCCCATGTAATAAGAAAAAAAGGGATGTCTGATCCCAATCTATATTATGCGTATTTGTCAGTGTTCAGAAGGATTTATGCATACGCGGATGCGGCGTCGAGTGGAGTCCTTGATTCAGGTAATCTTGCATATTTTTTCTTTTTGCAGTAAATCTTTTGTAGTATCTCATACTAATAGGTTGACATAGCAGCTGAATATACTTGATTAGTAATAATGGATTTTACTTTAATAGTCAGCTATATGCTTTATTGGGATGTTTTTTTTTGTCATAACATTGGCTTTTGGTTGTTGCAAAGGAATGCGCTTAGTTAGGTAGATATTATTGGCAGCCTAGAACCCAGCTAAAATCCCACAAAAGTTATTTTAAATCCGTTGAAGAATTTGTATGGTAAAAGTGAACTTATTCTGGTGCATTGGCTCATGATAAACCATGTCTACGTTTCTGATTAATTGCAATTTTTCTGAGATAAATGCATTAGAGGTCATTTGTTCTTAAAAGATTTGTTGACTTCCATAGCATAACTTGTAATGAAGCCTACGTTTGTTTTGTAGACTCTGGATCGTGCCAAACCAGATCTCGAGAATTCAAGGAAAACTTCATACAACAGATCCTTCAAACGGCTGGTTTGTTCTGTGCATTGTTAATGACTTTTGTGATGGTTTTTGTTAGAAATAATATTAATTTATTATTATTAGAATAGTCTAGAATAGTCTAGATTGTGGGCTTGGCCCATTAGGTCATCCCATTAGGTCTTTTAGTCTCTATAAATAGAGAGTCTTCTTGTACAGACTTACACACTTGAATATACAATATATTTCAGATTCAATTTGGTATCAGAGCTCTCGATCTGAGGGCTCTGCTTCCCCATATATATCTTTTCCTTTCTTTTTACTGCCGTGCATCATACCGGCAACCATCCTTTCACACCTAACCCTTATTTAGTCACAAATTTCTTGTCCTCAACCTCGTATCATCAGGAAAAAGATCGTCAGCCTCCGTTCATCGCCGGAAACCGCCACAAAACCACCGTCCGCCACTGTTCACCGCCGTCAGACTGCTTTTCCGGCGACTTTTCCGACCAACCACCACGCGATCAGGAGCGGCTCAGGGAGGCGACCCTGTCTGTCCAAGCCGCGTGTTGATCGGAGCATCCACGCGCCGCCACGCGCCGGTGGAAGTCTCCGGCGGCTGAACCACTGTTCCGGCGCGTGAGCCACCGTCCGGCCACCGTTCCAGGCCGAACCACCACCATCTTGCTCGCCTCCTCACCCTCTTTCCAGATCTGGTCTCCGTTCGTTGTGGGTCCCATCCGTTTGAAAGATATCAGTGAAAAACCCATTGTTTGGACACTTTTGTGCAACGTTTTTGCGCGATTTCTTGCTTTCTTGTAGTTCTTTGCTATTTTCTGGTCATCTCCTTTTATTTTGTGATGGAGGGCTCAAATAATGCGTCCAAAAACACGACTGGCATCATCTTCGGTACTACCCCATCTCCATTCTTTTCTCGGGCCAGTGATTCCAATTGGAACAGTGGACGCGGTCGCAGACGTGGCCGCAGACAGAGGCCTCGTTGCAATTATTGCCAGAATCTTGGGCATTTTGAAGAACGCTGCTATAGGAAGTAAACATTTGAAGCCACCGTCTGCCAAATTTGCTCAAACTGATGTTACGCCACCTTCAACTGGATTAGTAACTCTTTCAAGTGCCGACTATGAGGCACTTCTCAAGAAGGTTTCTTCTCAGCATCCTACTCAAGACACTGGTAATCATGTTGCTTGTTTTTATCAATCATCTTTTGGACCCTGGATAATAGACTCAGGTGCTACTCATCATCTTTGTGGTAATAAAGATCTCTTCACTTCACTTTCTTATTCTAATAACCTACCCCCTGTCACTCTTGCTTATGGCACTAAGGCTCCTGCTCGTGGAATTGGGGAAGCCAACCCAACTCCCCTTTTAACTTTGAGTTCTGTTTATTATATACCTGGCATTCCTTTTAATTTAATCTCTGTTAGCCAGTTGATTCATTCTCTTTCATGTACTATTACCTTCTCTAAACAATCCTTTTCTATGCAGGATTCGGGTACGGGGAAGACGATTGGAGCAGGCGTTGAGTCACGAGGTCTCTACTATCTGATTGCACCACCTTCTCCAGTAGCCTGTTCTCTCACAGAGTCTCCTGAGCTAATTCACAGCCGTCTGGGTCATCCAAACCTCTCCAAGCTTCAGCATATGGTTCCCTTTTTATCCAATCTTAAGTCTTTAAACTGTCATTCTTGTCAGCAAGGAAAACACAATCGCTCCTCCTTTGCTAATAGAGTCAATAAAAGAGCTGATGCTCCTTTTTCTATTGTTCATTCTGATATTTGGGGTCCGAGTCGAACAACGTCTGTTTTGGGTTTTCAGTATTTTGTCACCTTTATTGATGATTTCTCCCGTTGCACTTGGGTTTATTTAATGAAAAATCGTTCTGAGTTATTTTCAATTTATCAAAAGTTTTGTGCAGAAATAAAAACTCAATTTGGTGCTTCTATTCAAATCTTGCGCAGTGATAATGCAAAAGAGTATGTGTCTCTTGAAATTTCTAAATTTCTGGATACACAGGGGACGATACACCAGACTACCTGTCCCCACACTCCACAACAAAATGGAGTCGCTGAACGTAAAAATAGACATCTAGTTGAAACTGCACGTACCCTTCTCATTCATATGAACGTCCCACTCCGTTTTTGGGCAGATGCTATTATCACCTCATGTTTCCTTATCAACCGCATGCCCTCTTCTGTGCTAAATAATGATGTTCCCTACAGTATTTTGTTTTTCGGAGCACCTTCTTATCCTCTGCCTTTACATATTTTTGGTTGTACTTGTTTTGTTCATGATCTTACTCCAGGTAAAGACAAGTTGACATCCAAGGCCTTCAAATGTATTTTCCTTGGGTATACACGTTTTCGAAAAGGGTATCGTTGCTATTCTCCTGATCTCAAGCGTTATATCGTTTCTGCTGATGTCACTTTCTTTGATCAACAGCCTTTTCACTCTACTCTGTCTCCAGTGTCCCAAGTTGATCAGGTCCTTCCTGTTCCTTTTCTTGACTTGTCTTTACCAGCTGCAGGTGACCCTATTCCAGAGGAGCAACCAATTACCTCCATACCTGCAGATCGTCCTCTCCTCACATACCAGCGTCGTCAGCCTGCACCTCCTCCGACTTTGCCTCTTGATGACTCATCGCCCTTTCCCGTCGGCTCTTCTCCTCCGGATCCTCCATCAGAGACTCCTCCCATTGCCCTTCGGAAAGGTATTCGATCCACTTGAAATCCTCATCCCCTTTATTCTTTCTTGAGTTATGACAGACTTTCTTCACAACATTTTACTTTTGTTTCTAGTCTCTCTTCTGTTTCCATCCCTAAAACCACAGGTGAAGCACTATCTCATCCAGGGTGGCGCCAGGCGATGCTTGATGAAATGCAGGCACTTCACTCCAATGGCACTTGGGATCTTGTTCGTGCTCCTCCCGGGAAGTCTGTTGTTGGTTGTCGATGGGTGTTCACAGTTAAAGTTGGTCCTGATGGCACTGTTGATCGCCTTAAAGCTCGCTTAGTGGCCAAGGGATACACACAGATCTTTGGTCTTGATTATGGGGATACCTTTTCTCCCGTTGCTAAGATGGCTTCTGTTCGCCTGTTTCTTGCCCTTGCCGCCATTCATCACTGGCCCCTTCTCCAACTTGATATTAAGAATGCTTTTCTACATGGTGACTTGCAGGAGGAAGTTTATATGGAGCAACCACCAGGTTTTGTTGGTCAGGGGGAGAATTCTGGAATGATATGTAAACTTCGGAAATCTTTATATGGCCTGAAGCAATCTCCTCGGGCCTGGTTTAGCCGCTTTAGTTCAGTTGTTGAATCCTTTGGATTAATCAGAAGCAAAGCCGATCATTTTGTCTTTTACCGGCATAGCTCTTCTGGCCAGTGCGTTTATCTCTTGGTCTATGTTGATGACATTATCATTACAGGCACTGATCAGACCGGGATTGATCAGCTGAAAGAGCATTTATTCAATCAATTTCAGACCAAAGATCTTGGCAGACTTCGATATTTCTTGGGGATCGAAGTTGCACAGTCTAGGCGGGGCATTTCCATCTGTCAGAGGAAGTATGCACTGGATATCCTAGATGAGACTGGCATGTTAGGCTGTAAACCCATTGATACACCTATGGACCCCAATGTTAAGTTATTACCAGGACAGGGGGAGCCACTGCCAGATCCTAGTCGCTACCGCCGACTAGTTGGAAAATTGAATTATCTTACTGTGACAAGGCCAGATATCTCCTTCGCAGTGAGTGTTGCAAGTCAATTTCTTGATTCTCCCTGTGACTCCCATTGGGATGCAGTTATTAGAATTCTCCGATATATTAAAAAGGCGCCAGGAAGAGGTTTATTATATACAAATACTTAAATGTAAAAGAATACGTTCTGTATTGATCTGTGTCAGGGAGTTACAATATATAGAGACCCTAATGGGCTTAAGTGTAAGGCCCAAACCTAATCCAAACCTAATCCTAATACAGTCAGAATACAATCAGACTATTTACGGATAAGACAGAATCCAATCATATCTAATCAAATCTAATCATATCATATCTAATATTCTAACACTCCCCCTCAAGCTGGTGCGTATATATTATGAGCACCAAGCTTGTTACAAATGTATTCAACCCGAGGACCTCTAAGAGCTTTAGTGAAAACATCTGCTAGTTGATTAGACGAGTTAACAAAAGCTGTTTTGATTTCTCCTGACTGAATCTTTTCCCGAATGAAGTGACAATCAATCTCTATATGTTTGGTCCTCTCATGAAAAACAGGATTAGAGGATATATGTAGTGCAGCTTGATTATCACAGATGAGTGTCATGGGTTGTTTCTGTTCACAAAGATGAAGCTTCTGAATCAACTGCTTTAACCAGATCAACTCACAGGTAGTATTTGCCATTGCACGATACTCAGCTTCTGCACTAGATCGGGAAACAACAGGTTGTTTCTTGCTTTTCCATGAGATTAAGTTTCCTCCGAAGAAGACACAATAACCAGAAGTAGAGCGTCTGTCCGAGGGTGATCCTGCCCAATCGGCATCTGAGTAACCACAAATTTCTGTATTTCCCTGATCCGAATACAACAAACCTTTTCCTGGTGCTCCTTTGATGTATCGGAGGATCCTCACAGGAGGATCCTCACAGCAGCATCCCAATGTGAATCACAAGGGGAATCAAGGAACTGACTGGCCGTACTGACAGCGAAAGAAATATCTGGCCTAGTCACAGTAAGATAATTGAGCTTCCCAATCAGCCTTCGATAACGTCCAGGATCAGATAACGGCTCCCCCTGTCTGGGCAATAACTTAACATTAGGATCCATGGGTGTATCAACTGGTTTACACCCCAACATACCAGTCTCCTCTAGGATATCTAAGGCATACTTCCTTTGACAAATAGAAATGCCCTGTCTAGATTGCGCCACCTCAATTCCCAAGAAGTAACGCAGCTTCCCAAGGTCCTTTGTTTGAAATGCACTGAATAAATGTTGTTTTAACTGATGGATTCCGTCTTGATCACTTCCGGTGAGGATGATGTCATCAACATAGACTAACAAATAGATGCACTTGTTAGGAGATGTAATCCTATAGAAACAGAATGGTCAACTTTACTGCGAATTAGGCCAAACGCCTGTACAGCAGAACTGAAGCGACTAAACCATGCTCGAGGAGACTGCTTGAGACCATATAAGGATTTTCGAAGACGACATACCTTCCCAGACTCCCCCTGAGCAACAAAACCAGGTGGTTGCTCCATGTAAACTTCTTCTTGTAAATCACCATGAAGAAAGGCATTTTTGATGTCAAGTTGAAGGAGTGGCCAGTGACGGACGGACGCCATCTTAGCGACTGGAGAGAATGTATCGCTATAATCAAGGCCAAAGATTTGAGTAAAACCCTTGGCAACTAGACGTGCCTTGAGACGATCAACATGGCCATCAGGTCCAACTTTCACAGTAAACACCCAGCGACAACCAACTATAGACTTCTCTGGAGGAGCAGAAACAAGGTCCCAAGTGCCATTGGTATGAAGTGCGGTCATCTCATCAAGCATCGCTTGGCGCCATCCTGGATGGGAAAGTGCTTCACCTGTGGTCTTAGGAATAGAAACAGAAGAAAGACTAGAAACAAAGGTGAAATGAGGAGGAGAAAGGCGATCATAGCTCAAGAAGGTATAAAGAGGATAAGGGTTACGAGTAGTACGTGTACCTTTTCTTTGAGCAATGGGAAGAGCCTCTGGTGAAGGATCCGGAGGGGAAGAATCAACTGCAGAGGGCAATGAGTCAGCAGGGGTCGAGTCGACTGGAGGTACTGTCTTACGACGCTGATAAGTGAGAAGTGGACGGTCTTCAGGTACTGGAGCAATAGGTGATTGCTTATCTGGAGTAGAAGCACCTGCATCTGGCAAAGACAAGTCAAGAAAAGGAACAGGAAGAACATGATCAACCTGTGACAATGGAGATGGGATAGAATTAAAGGGTTGTTGATCAAAAAAGGTGACATCCGCGGAAACTAAGTAACGCTTGAGGTCAGGAGAGTAACAGCGATAACCCTTTTGAAGACGAGAATAACCAAGAAAAATGCATTTAAAGGCTTTGGATGTTAACTTATCCTTACCAGGAGTGAGATCATGAACAAAACAGGTACAACCAAAAACATGTGGGGATAGAGGAAAGAGAGGAACATCTGGAAACAATAAGTTATGAGGAATATCATTATTAAGCACAGATGAAGGCATGCGGTTGATGAGAAAGCAAGAGGCAAGGACTGCATCAGCCCAGAAGTGAAGAGGAACATGCATGTGAATAAGAAGAGTCCTGGCAATCTCAATGAGATGTCTATTCTTACGTTCAGCTACTCCATTTTGTTGTGGAGTGTGAGGACAAGTGGTTTGGTGTAAAGTACCCTGTGTGGCTAAGAAATGAGAAAAGTCAACAGAAACATACTCCTTAGCATTATCACTACGTAAAATACGAATAGAAGCACCAAATTGAGTATGAATTTCAGCAGAAAACTTTTGATAAATAGAAAACAACTCAGAACGGTTTTTCATTAAATAAATCCAAGTACAACGGGAGAAATCATCAATAAAGGTGACAAAATACCGAAAACCTAAAATAGACACACTATGACTAGGACCCCAAACATCTGAATGAATAATTGAAAAAGGAGCATCAGCTCGTTTATTGACTCGATTAGCAAAGGAGGAACGTATGTGCTTTCCTTGCTGACATGACTGACAATCTAAAGTTTGAAGACCGGATAAAAGAGGAACCATCTTCTGCAATTTCGCAAGACTAGGATGCCCGAGACGACTGTGGATGAGCTGTGGAGATTCTGTGAGAGAACAAGCAACTGAAGGACTCGGCACATCAAGGTAGAACAGACCCCGTGACTCACGGCCCACTCCAATCATCTTCCCCGTACCCGGGTCCTGCACAGAAACAGAATGGTTTGAGAATGTGACAATACAATTAAGAGAATTGATCAATTTACTAACCGATATTAAATTATAAGGGATGTGAGGAATGTAATAGACAGGTGTCAAGGTCAATGAGGAGGTTGGACAGATTTGTCCAATCCCACGAACGGGGGCCTTAGTTCCATCAGCAAGAGTAAAAGAGGGTAAATTATTAGAATATGTAAGGGAAGAAAAGAGTTCCTTATTACCACAGAGGTGATCAGTAGCACCTGAGTCAAATATCCAAGGACCAAGTGATGCAGAATGAGAAACACAAGCAACAGGATTACCAGTTTCTGAAGCAGAGGCCTGAGATTGAGGAGAGGACTTCCTGAGAAGGGCCTGGAATGCTGCATATTCTTCAGAGGAGAGAGAGACTGAACCATTTGAAGCAGTATCCGATTGAGCTACATTAGCAGCAAAAGAAGGTCGCATGTGAGGATACTTTGTGTAGCAGCGTTCCTCATAATGACCAAGTTGCTGACAGTAATGACAACGAGGTCGCTGACCACGTCCGACTGGGCCTCCTGGGCCACGACCTCCTGGGCTACGTCCTCCTGGGCCTCTACCACGACCACGTCCACCTCCAATATGCCCGCGAAAATCAGTACGGGAAACTAGAGCAGTAGAATCAACAGCAGAAGACGATGCAGGAGCAGATTTCTTATTCAAATTCAGAAGACGCTGATACGTCATGGATAGATCAGGCTCCCCACTAGTCAAGATAGTATCACGAACATTATCATATTCTTCGGGAAGGCCAGAAAGTGTGGCAACCATAAAGAGACGTTCCACCTGTTTCCGATATGCAGTAGCATCAGTAGGGTAAGGCAGCATATCCAAATATGCCTGCATCAAAGAGCGACTCTTGCCAATATATGTCTCCATCTGAATGTCGGATGATTTGCTCAGTTCCATAAACTGAGAGATGATGAAATAGAGCTGTTGAACATCATTAGTGTAGAGGTTTTTTGCTTCCTCCCACACTTCAGTGCAAGTTTGAAATGAATAAAAGATATCCAAGACAATCGGATCAATGGATTGCCAGAGGATACTCAGAAGCTGGTTGTCAATCTTTACCCAATCAGACTTGTCCTCCTTAGGGACATCAGTAGACTTAGTTGTGAGATGGTTCCCATATCCTTGTCCAAAGAACCAAACTCGAACAGAGGTGGCCCAGTTCTTGTAATTAATAGATCCCTTCAATTTTGAAGAGGTAATGGACCCAATATTGGTAGAGATGATATTGGGAGAATTTTTCACAGGAGGAGATGGAGACTTGACCTCCGAATGAATTGGAGGGTTTGCTGCCATAGTATCAAATCACAAAGATACAAACCGAATAAAGAGAAACGAACCGGATCACCAATCAAGAAGAGGTGCGCACAAAAAGTCAGACCCACAAAGAACCAACCACAGATCCAGAAAGAGGAGGAGAAGACGAGCTTCTCTGTCCAAGACCGGCCGGAAAAAGCCGCCGGAATAGTGCTCACGCGCCGGCAGAAGGTGGCGCGTGAAGCCCACGCGCAGAGAAGACTGGAGGCGCGTGAGAGCGCGTGACAACTCTGATGGTGGCCGGACTTCCACAGAGCAGGTCGCCGGGAGGAGAGGGTTCTGTTCGCGTTCGTTCCAGACTGAAAACTCGCCGGAAAAGTACTCTGGCAGCCTGAACAGTGGCTGACGGTGGCTGATGGTGCTCCGGTGACTGTTTGGGGATGTGGACACGTGCAGAAGATGCCTGGAGAGGACTTACAGCCCTTGATGTCTTACCGGAAGGACGCACGGCAAAGAAAAGATGACTCCTAAGCAGTGGGCTTAGGTTTTAAAGCGAAGAACAAGATTTCTAAGCGGAAGCGAGGGTTCCCAGAACGAAATAGCTCTGGTACCAACTTAAATGTAAAAGAATACGTTCTGTATTGATCTGTGTCAGGGAGTTACAATATATAGAGACCCTAATGGGCTTAAGTGTAAGGCCCAAACCTAATCCTAATACAGTCAGAATACAGTCAGACTATTTACGGATAAGACAGAATCCAATCATATCTAATCAATTCTAATCATATCATATCTAATATTCTAATACAAATAAAGGGAGTTCAGAGATCTCTAGTTATTCAGATGCTGACTGGGCAGGTTCTCCTTCAGATAGACGATCCACCTCAGGGTATTGTGTTCTCTTCGGAGGAAATTTGATCTCTTGGAAGAGTAAGAAGCAAACTGTGGTCGCCAGATCCAGTGCGGAGGCAGAATATCGGGCAATGGCAAATGTAACCTGCGAGCTCATCTGGCTGAGTCAATTGCTGAAGGAACTCCATCTCTATGAACAAAGGCCTATGAAGCTCATTTGTGACAACCAAGCCGCTTTGCATATATCCTCTAACCCAGTCTTTCATGAGAGGACCAAGCATATAGAAATTGACTGTCATTTTGTTAGAGAAAAGATCCAGTCAAGGGAGATCGAGACAGCATTTGTCAATTCCAATGATCAACTTGCGGATGTATTCACTAAAGCTCTTAGAGGTCCCCGAATAGATCATATTTGTAACAAGCTGGGAGCTTTTGATATATACGCACCAGCTTGAGGGGGAGTATTAGAAATAATATTAATTTATTATTATTAGAATAGTCTAGATTGTGGGCTTGGCCCATTAGGTCTTTTAGTCTCTATAAATAGAGAGTCTTCTTGTACAGACTTACACACTTGAATATATAATATATTTCAGATTCAATTGTTTTTAACAAGTAATTTCTTTTTATTTCTGTTTTATAATCTAAAAATTGTATCCTGGATTATAGAGCCTCAAGGATTCAAGAGTCAACTCATTTTCATAAAGGGGAAGCTTCATGAGAAAGTAAAGATGTTCTGCTTCTTTTGGACTATGCAACCGCCAACCGAGGAATTGCTGGTGCATGTTTGCAAAATGTTTCCAGGTGCTTGTGACTTGAAGATGTGATTCTTCTTTTGAACTCTTCACGCTCAGTATCCAAGGAATTGCTGGCCTATTTTTGCTGACTGTTCCAGGTGCCTGTTATTTATTCATGGAAAAATAAAAGGATACAAGATAAAACGACCAACCAAATTAGTTATTAAAATGTAATATTGTTTATCATCTGAATGTGGTGTACTATGTATATCTGTATTTAGGGTTACATATCAAAATACCTTCCTTTTTGAGGTATTCATCTAATTTCCCTTTTATTGTACAGTTATCGATTGTTTGTTGCTGCAAGAGTTTAAACTACCTAATGAGGTCACCTGTAGCGTTTGAGGGGTTTTAAACCGTATTAAGACCATGTAGCATGCTTTTGTGGATTGCAATTCAAATTCATCGTGTTTACTCGTATATCACTCGAGTTTTCAATCAAAAAGAATTATTGCTCTTGATATTTATCGTGTTCTCATGAACTACAGCAGCTTAGTGACTAGACCGTAAAAGATATTCAATACGTGCATGGTGTTAGTAGACCTGAAAAGCTTATCCCATATATTACGTGTGTGTTGTCATGCAACCCTTTTTACGTGTTAGTCTTCTTGATAGTGTTATTTTGCAGTTGTATTTTGTGTTTTGTTTTGCTAGCTTTTAGTTACGATAAGATAGGATCTAAATGGGTCCGTCGCTTCTCATGTGACTGCTGATGAGAAAAGTTGCAGCAAATTTTTAACACTAGGATACACGTGCGGATCCTAGGATATACGTGCGGATTCTATAAAAAAAAAAAAATCAAGATTCAGACGCGTATCCTGTGTTGCTGCACTTTTTTTCTTCCGCAGTCACATAAGAAGTACTTTCCCCATCATAAATATGCATATATATGGCTATAACCTCCTTACGTGAAACGCAATTCATCTATTCCAATTCACTTCACATCATGGTATCAAGATCCTCTAGCTACAAAGTTTCCATAGGTTTAGGTTCAAAGAAAAATAAACTTGAAGCAGCAATCTAGCATAATTCTGTCCAAGAACACAAACGGAAAACCGCATCATTGTCCAATACTGAAAATCATATGCTAGTGGAAGCGTGCTGCAAGATTTAAGGGTTATCCACCTCGCAATGCATCTCTGCACTAACCTTGCTATCCTTGCTCCTATTCTTTAGTACAGTAGCTGGCTCATGGATGCGTTGCTTGTCAGCATGTCAGTCCAGACCAAAACCTCATCTCCTTACACAGGATCTCATCAGCTAAAAGGTTGGAGAAGGAACAGGTTTAAAAATTACTCATTCTAGTAACACTTACTTCTGCATCTCTATTCTAACGTCTTTTTGTGTTCCCAACATTCAGTGTACATTTTGTATGGCCCTATATTGAGTCAAATAATTTTTTTTTCTACTTCTGTACTCAAGAACGAAGAATCTTAAAAAAGTCTTTCTTTTTTCTCAATTTTTGTTCCCGTGTTATTGGTTCATTCTTTGAAACAGAAAAATATACTGGATTTATCAAACGTAATATTTAATCATTTCTATTCTCCATACTACAATATCAACAAGACCTGATTTAATCATACGTAATATTTGGAGAGTCCCTGGGGCATGTTTGGTGCATAGTATAGGATAAAGCCTGATAGTATAAGACCTGATAGTATAAAGCCTGATTGTATAAGATCTGATTGAATTTTAATACTATCCAGCGTTTGGTATGGTATTGTATAAAATAATATATTGTATAAGATAATATCATCTAGTATTTGGTAATGCACTGTATAATACTATATATGATAAAAATAAATATTTTTAATAAAAATATCTTTTAATAAAGAATTTATGTAATTCTTCAAAACATGTCATATGATATTAATTTTTATAAAAATTTATTGATCAGTGTGTCCAACATATAAATCAATTTTTATAAAAATAAAGATATTCAATATTTTAAAAATTAATATATTGAAAAATTAAATTTTATTTTAATAGATTAATATTAAAATAATATATTAATTTTTGAGAATTACATTGGTCAACGATGTTAATACATTAATCTCTTATTAGACCTTATCCTTCACCCTTAGGCCGGATTAACTTATACATCGTTTTGATGTATTAAGGGATTATGCTGTATAAGCTTATACTATACGATAGTCACACCAAACAACTGAAAATGTCATAACGTATAGTATAAGCTTATACTATCATGCCTTATACGTCACACCAAACATAGCCTAAACTAGTTGGGATGATTGATGAATTCAAATGAAAGGATTGAGGGAAAATAAAGGCAAAAATAAATAAATAAGTAAAGAATTAAAAATTTGAGAAAAATAAAATTAGAAATTTTAAAAGAAAAATACAAAAAATAGAATAAACAATAAGCGAAAACTCAGATAGATAAAAGAGAAAAATAAATAAAAGGAAAAATAGTAAAAGGAAATGTGAAAAGAAAAAAATAATACTAAAATTAAAAATAGATTACTAGAAGGGGGAAAACTTGAGAGAAATAAATAAATAAATTAAATATGGGGGAAAGGAACTAGACATGAACCCTTTAGAACTTAGGAAGAAAAACAGGTTTATTCTTCCACAGTGCTAATAGCTTTCTTTCAAGTTGTCTTACGGTACACAATCTGTCAATCTAATTCTCACTCTATTAAATCTTATTTTATTACTTTCGCCCAAGCAAGTTTCAGTTAATATCTTCCACTCTGTGTTAAGAGGTAACAATTTTTTTTTCTCATGGGAATATCTAGAGGTCTTCGTATTATATGCATGTTTGCTCATATTTTTGAGTAACTGATATTACTCATATCTTTCATCGAGTATTTTTTTTTTTATTTTTTATCTTATGTTAGAAATATCAAATCAAATAAAGAATAAAGATTCAACCTTTATCTCATGAAAGTGGCACCTTTACCATTAAGGTGTCACATTTTCTTGCTCTTACAAAAAAGAAAAAGAAAGAAGGATTTTACAATGCAAGACTAAACATTTATTACGTAAAGGTTGCACCTTTCTCTTGTTCTTAACAAGAAAAGGGTTTTCCAAAGCAAGATACAATCTTCATCTCATAAAAGTAGTATCTTTATGTACATGCACCATGGTGGCAGCTAACCTTAATTACAGAATTACGATTAAAGCCTCCAAGATCTCTTTGTCGTACAAAAATGGCACCTTTCCAATAATCAAATTGAAGAAATGAACTTCAATGCATATGTACATGTAATGGCTAACCCTACTTTCAAATTAGGATGCCATCTCTATCACATGAAGGTGGAGACCAGCCCTAGTTCCAAACTAAGGTTGGCGCTGCCGCCACTCTTTTGCAAAGGTGGGAAACTGAAACTTGTATTAAACAAGGATTAATGTTTGTGTATGGAAAAAATCAAACCTTAACGAATGTTCATAACATTTAACATATAAATATGCATGCTTTGTCATAAAAACATAATCCTTATCATGAATCCTTATTCAAACATTGATAACATGTTCAAAATAACTTTTGAAATCCAATGAAACATCTCGAATTTGGATGTATTGAACGAGGTACCATTTGAAAGTTAGAAAAGGATGCACCTTTATGAATTAAATAGCAACCATGCATGCTGAACAAATAAAACTTTTTCATTTGAAAGAGGAAGAGCAAATTATTTTGTATACATCATGCATGAACATACCAAGACCACTCAATACAAATTCATAAGCATACGGTTAAAGCTCGTATCTTTGTTGCTTCAACCATAAAGTTTGGTTACACTAGTAGGGATGAATGTCTTCAAGACCCTTTATTGATAATCTACACTATCTTCTCCAATGACAGGAGAAGAACTTCTTCTTCCTGGTATCTCCTTCCTTGAGAGTTTGCTAGCTTGAACAAGGTTGAAGGTTCAAGAGTTTGAGAGGATTATATGTGGAAAAGCAAGAAGCAAGAGAGAAGAGACAAGGAGGGAGCAAATAGGCATTTCACTAGGGTTTATGAAGAGTGTTATATTATTGCACACACAACATAAAGGGGTGACCACATGCACTATGTACGTGTCTCCTTGTGTATTAGGGTTAAGATAAGACTCTCACTTACGCCACCCTAATTATCCAATCCAAGCTCATTTTGTCACGACCCAAATACAGGTCGATGATCGACGCACAAGCTAAATTTAATCTTACCACGATTTAGACTGACAATCCTAGGTACACTCAAATTTATAAATTTACAATTAACCCGCTTGTAGAGCAAATCTGCTAGCAAACCCCAAAACGGCTCCAAACAGCCTTCACTCAATCAATTATTCTGGAAAATCCACTAACCAATTGCTCTCAAATTTTTATACAACAAACTAGACACCTCAAGATTCAATTTGACATAACATACACCTAATTTTACCTAGAAACGAAGCGGTAATAATATTTCCAATCTCGCACCAGAACTGCCACATGTGCAGTAACCAAATGGGCAGTCTGTGTTCTCTGCCATATACAGGAAGACTCCCAACTCAGAAAAATCCCAAATTTTACCACAAGATAAGGGACATCACAAGCTTCAAAACGACGTATGGCACGTCCCTATCGGATCTCTATGGAGGGAGATATCCTCTCTCAAAGTTCGTCAAAATTCTGCCAATTTCTAGAAAATTTTGCCAGAGTTTCCTTTGTTTTTCCTAAGACAAAGTGTTGGATTTCTCATCAAAATTTCTTAAGTTATGAGCACATTTCCTCAATAATTTTTATTGCATTCATCACCCAATACATCATTCCAAGTCATATTTATCTAATACACAATCTCATTTTGAGTTCTCTAACTCCATAAATCAAACATGCAAGCTCTAGGTTTTCATGAAATTAAATAATCAAATCAATCCATGAAAGATGTTGAACCTTACCCACAATCAAATCATTGCTTGAAGATCACTTGGAGTTAGGAGAGGTTGAATTTTTGAAGAAGAATAGCAATGGAGGGGGGGGCTCGCGGGTTTGAGAAAGAGAGAGGGTGTGATGGTGATGATGAATAGTAACATGACATGTGGACTTAAGTTACTTAAGTGAGGTGGGCCCCACCGCCACTTCACGCGATTTTAAACTAATTCAAAACTCCCTCTGATTCCATTAAACGTCCATAATTTCATATCCTATTTAAAAACTCTAATTTTTAACATTAACCATTGTCCTTTAATTATCCTTGATCAGATGAATCTAGAGTTTTCCGGTTGTTCGGAGAAAATGTTGTTTTAAGCTGTTACGCGCGTCGTAGGTACGCTTCCCCTACTTACTAATTTCCATCAATTTTCATCAGAAATCATATTTCCTAGTCATATATACCATTTATAACTTATATCCAAACCT